TCTTCTCCAGCCAGTTGCCTTCCCCAGCTACCGAGGCTGCGCGTTGCGCCCTGGCCTGCCCCGGGAGCGCATACCATGCTGTCGATCTGCTTCACCATTTTGGCAGTTGGGTCGCCGACAAGCGCCTGTCCGAACCGATGGAAGAAGATCAAAAGCGCGGAACAGAGCTTGGAGGGGAACACGCAGCGCGCCTTCCCTTTATATCAACGGGGCGGGGCGGGCGGGTGCGCGCGGCGTGCGTGTGGCGGGGGCGCGCCCGCCAAGGCGCCCCAATCAGGCCCCGCCCCTGGAGCGCAGAGCGGGCGCCCGGGCCTGGCGCAGGCGCCCAGCGGAGCTTCAGACACTCTACTTACCCTCCCACCCCCATCACCCCTGCCTTGAACCCCCGCACGGCCTTGGCGGCACCGCTGCTTTTAGAGGTGATGTGGGAGAGCCATCGAGCTGTCCAAAGGGTGCACGGTGGTGGGAGATGGGGAGGCGGACGGCCACCCCCAGAACCAGAGTCCCGCCGGGTCACATGGGCATGCGTCAGCCAGTCCTTAATCGAACGTGCCCACGCTCCTGATGGGGACTGTCGGGTTACCGTCCTAGAACCGCCCGGGTAGGGCTGGATTTCTCGAAAAGGCCCACCGTGCCCAGCCCTCCATCCATTTGAGCCCCACAAAGTGCTGAGTAACGATGACCAGGAAATCTGTGTGCGAGCTTGGGCCTCCTTTCGGGAATTTACCCGCGAAAAAAAATCCCTTTCCTCCTCCGTCTGTTTCACTTTTACCGGAGAACCTGCTGCTCCAGCGTGACCCAAAGTGACCCAGCAGTTTAGCGTGGTAGCGAAGGCCCGGGGACTGACCGGGCTCTTGACCAGCTGACAGCTGCGTGTGAGATGTTAAGTGCAGCCAAGGGTGACGCTGGGCAGGTCCTGGCCTTCTGAGGGTCTCAGTGCTCTCTTCTGTAAAATGGGAACCCTGGTGGCCACTGTCTCCTGGTGCTGGTGTTGAGGATTAAAGAGCTTGTAATGCGACTAGGACAGCGTTTGGCACCTACTAAGCCAAACACCAAGTTAATAGTTGCGGTGAGTAGAAACTGCTTGCTTGGTGTCACGGGGGCCTGGCAGTTTCTTCACCCTATATTTACAGTGGCACCAGTACACATGTTTGGGCGAGTCTTCTCCACCAGAGGTAGAGGTGAGGAATAGAGAGGGAGTTTATTTTGATTCTGGGCTGTGTGTTGCAGGTGGAGTTTGGGAGAACTGGGGGGCGTAGAAGGTGAGTGTATTGGCTGGTTTTTTGAAGCCAGAGAGCCCATCAGCAGCTGGAATGGAGGTGCAGAAACTGTTGAGCTGGAGAGAGGAATGGGAGCCTGAAGGCTGAGAGGGAGGGTCCCAGGCTACATTTCGGAGCTGAGCCGCTCCGGATGAAGCTGAAGCTGTGTCTAAATGTGATTAGCCAGGGGTTGGGAGAGCAACCTCTCCCCCCCTTTAGCCCCTGGCTTTCTTCTGCCCTATCTTTCAGAGAGGGAGAAAACCGAAGGTGTTGGACCTGTTGTGCAGTTCCTTGAGGGCTAAGGAGCACTGAGCCATAGGTAAGGATGTAAAAGAGGGACACATGCTAAGGACAGCCCTAGACAGGGAGGATGGACTGCCCTGGGTGCCACCCCCTTCCTGAGAAGAGTAAAGCCTACTGGGCCAGAAAGGAGCCTTTAGGCTCAGAGCTGAATCTATAACCTACTTTTCTGCAGGGTCCTCAGTCCAGCTATACACCAGCTTCTAAGTTGGTAAATTTACATGAGAGGGGCCAGCAGATAGCATAGTGGTTATATTGCTGGACTGCCATGTGGCTGACCACCGTTTGAGTCCCAGACTTGGTGGCTTGAAAATCATGCCAGGCGTGTGTGCGTGTGTGTTTGTGTGCCCAAGATCCAGGGAACAGAATGGTGGAGAAGGGATTACAGAATGCCCATGCCCCTGGAGGGTGATTTCTCATTTTATCTCTTATTGTCTCTGTCTCTTTCTCTGGTGAGCACACACACCCTAAGTCAAAAACCTCTAAAAAAACATTTGCATGGTAGATGACAAATAATTGAACTGTAGGAAGGGGCAGTGTAACATCTGATGGTCATCCTGCCCACAGTCAGCTGACTTCTGTGAAAGGACCTTCCAAATTCTAAGTCAGAGGGAGTCCTGACTCCTCCCCACCTTTGTAGGATCAATATAGAATGGGTGTGGAGGATGGTACAATTATTGAGAATAAGGAACTGGGAAGCCAGAGTGTGTGCTAAGAGTCTGCACTCTGCAATTAGACTCCCTTGTCCTCATCCCCACTCTGCTACCGAGTAGCTGAGTAACTCTAGGCAAGTCTATATAGCTTTCCATGCCTCAGCTTCCTCATCTGTAAAATGGGGATAATACTATCTCATGCTTATAAAGGTTGAGGGGGTGTATGAAGTGCTAGTGCTGTGCTTGGTGCCCAGTGAATGCGTCATGAACACTGCATGAACACTGATTATAGGTTATTAAATGGGATGGTGCCATCTATCTAGAATGATGGCAGAGTTGGTGTGGAAGAGGAGACTATAAAACAGGTGTCAGTCTTAAGTGAATTAAATCATTAGGAATTCGTAATGCACAGTGAGCTCTTGTGACTTCAGTCTCAAAGGAGAGAATGCACAGTGAGCTCTTGTGACTTCAGTCTCTGAGGAAATGTCTCCCTCTTCCTCCCACCCTAAAGTGTGGAAGAAAAGTAAACTGGACTTGGTCCTAAGGAGCCAAGACCCCTGCCTACAGGGACATGGGAAATGAAGTCCTTAGACTTTCAGTTTTTGGCAGAGAGGTGACAGTCTATAAGAGTGAGGTGCAGGGGAATTATATGGGACATCCCAGAGAGGGAGGATCCATTTATGCAGAGAAGTGAGAGGGTGAGAGGAGGAGGAGGAGGAGGAGGAGGAGGAGGATGAGGAGGAGGAGGAGGAGACATAAAGGCCTTCAACTGGGGGTTGGTTCTGTGTATGAGGACGCTCAGTTGCAAGGAGAAATCTAGCTCAGACTTAAACCAAAAAGAATTAGTAACCCATATTCCCAGGAAAACCAGACACCTAGAGAGGTCACAGGGGAACCATTTCTATGGTTTCATTCTTAGGCAGGCTCTCTACCTTATGTAAGACTGCCCCAGGCAGCTCTAGGCTTAGGTTCCTACTAGTTGAGCATCTCTGCTAGAAAAATAGCCCTTTCCCTTGTTCTCAGAAATGTCTCAGAGGCTGACCTTCATGGATTTGGGCTCGAGGAAGGGGAGGATTTAGTCTTGCTTGGGCCATCTGGTTTAGGAGTAGAGAAAATCCAGGGGGATTACCAGAGAAAAGGAGAAACAGATGCTGGATCAGCAAAAATGGTATTTTCACATCTTCCAGAAGAGAAGAGATGAGTGGTATGGATATGAGCTGCTTTAGGTTTCTGGGTCAGTTTAGTCTGAGACTCCATGTAGAACTGGAGAACTGGGTCGCCTGCCTTTGTTCAAGTTCCAGCACGGATTTGGAGAAAATGCAGCTATAGGTCTCTGAAGCAAGTTTCCTCCAATCCCAAGTTTATCAGAATATGATCCTTGGCCACCTAATTCTTCAGAACTGGGCGTGATTGACGATACTGCAGATTTTTGGACCACGCCCAGGTAGACATACAGAATCATCTTTTGAGATAGCCTTGGCATATGCCTTTTAAAGAAATGTCTCATCTTAGATACACTAAAGTTCGATAAACTTTGTTCTAGGATCTTCAGAGGGAAGCCAGCATTAGTTAAGCTTGAAGACTTTCTAGCAAGAGAGTTGAGATGAAGACACCAAAGAGAACATGGTAAGTGATAAAACAGGGAGTTGAAAGTACTATGGTCACATAGGTGATAGGAGAAAAGGGGACAAATATACATGTATGAGAGCCCAGAGCTGGTAATTTCCATCATTCTTCTCAACGTCCCTGAGGAAATAAATATTATTCTCCCCATTTTATGGAGAAATAAATCAAGTTCAATGAGGTCATCTGGTAATACTGAATGCTTATCAATTCTAGCATTTTGTCCATAAGGAAAGGAAGTATCAGCTGCTTCTAGTCTCTCTTTTCCTCAAAAATTCTATGAGTTTTTGGGACCAGCAGTTGACATAATGGCTATGTCGTTGGACTCCCATGTAGTCGACCATGGTTTGAGTCCTGGACCCAGTGGCTTAAACTTATGCCAGGTACGTGTGCGTGCGTGCCCAAGATCCTGAGAGGAAAATGGAGGAGAAGGGATTGCGGTGTGGCCATCCCCCGCTGGGGGGTGATTTCTCAGTTTCTATCCCTCTGTCGCTCTCTCTCTGTCTTTCTGGTGAGTGCACGTGCCCTATAGCAAAAACCTAAAAAAAAAAAAAAATCCAGTGAATTTTTTTTGGGAAAAAAATGAAGACCATTACCTCATACCATACAACAAAAGTACTCAAAAGTTAATGTGCAAATCCTAGGAGATCCTGGAGGTAATCTTTGTAACTTTGAAGGAGACAAATATTTCTTAGGCAAGACATATAGTAGAAGTCACTAACTGTAAAAGAAAAAGTTAATAGCTTTTATCACAAAAATGGGAAGTATGGGATCATCAGATGGCATAATAGTTACATTACTAGACTCCCACATGGTTCAAGTCCTGGACCTGGTGGCTTAAACCTCACGCTGGGTGCATGTGCATACGTACCCAAGATCCTGAAAGGAGAATGGAGAAGGGATTGCAGCTTGGCCATTCTCCTGGGAGGTGATTTCTCACTTTCTGTCTCACTGTATCTCTCTGTCTCTCTGGGTAGTGCACATGCCCTATAGCAAAAATCTCTCTACAAAATAAGGGGAAGTATGTGAGGTGATGGATTTATTAGCCTGATTCAGCCATTGCACAATGTATACGAATATCAAACCGTATTGTACACCATAAATATATGCAATTTTTATTTGTCTTTTTTTTTTTTTTTTGGAGAGGTTTTTGCTACAGGGCGCGTGCGCTCACCAGACAGACAGAGAGAGACATAGAGACAGAAAGCGAGAAATCACCCCCCAGGGGGGATGGTCATGCTGCAATCCCTCCTCTTTCATTCTCCTTCGGGATCTTGGGCACGCACGCACACGTGCCCAGCGTGAGTTTTAAGCCACTGGGTCCAGGACGTGAACCGTGGTCAACTACGTGAGAGTTCAGCGACATAGCCATTACACTAAGTGCTGGTTCCTTATTTGTCTTTTTAAAACATTAAAAAAACAAAAATGTAACAGGATGAAGGCGGCAATATTGCAGAGCTGGGAAGAGAGGCATGCTTCAGCAGGCAGATTTTACTTAATATTAAATGTCATCTAAAGAAAATATTAAACTAAAAACCTCTATCCTTTGAAAAACATTGTTCTATAGAAAAAACCCCAAAAAAAAAAAAAAAAAATCCAGTGAATTTTTTTTGGGAAAAAAATGAAGACCATTACCTCATACCATACAACAAAAGTACTCAAAAGTTAATGTGCAAATCCTAGGAGATCCTGGAGGTAATCTTTGTAACTTTGAAGGAGACAAATATTTCTTAGGCAAGACATATAGTAGAAGTCACTAACTGTAAAAGAAAAAGTTAATAGCTTTTATCACAAAAATGGGAAGTATGGGATCATCAGATGGCATAATAGTTACATTACTAGACTCCCACATGGTTCAAGTCCTGGACCTGGTGGCTTAAACCTCACGCTGGGTGCATGTGCATACGTACCCAAGATCCTGAAAGGAGAATGGAGAAGGGATTGCAGCTTGGCCATTCTCCTGGGAGGTGATTTCTCACTTTCTGTCTCACTGTATCTCTCTGTCTCTCTGGGTAGTGCACATGCCCTATAGCAAAAATCTCTCTACAAAATAAGGGGAAGTATGTGAGGTGATGGATTTATTAGCCTGATTCAGCCATTGCACAATGTATACGAATATCAAACCGTATTGTACACCATAAATATATGCAATTTTTATTTGTCTTTTTTTTTTTTTTTTGGAGAGGTTTTTGCTACAGGGCGCGTGCGCTCACCAGACAGACAGAGAGAGACATAGAGACAGAAAGCGAGAAATCACCCCCCAGGGGGGATGGTCATGCTGCAATCCCTCCTCTTTCATTCTCCTTCGGGATCTTGGGCACGCACGCACACGTGCCCAGCGTGAGTTTTAAGCCACTGGGTCCAGGACGTGAACCGTGGTCAACTACGTGAGAGTTCAGCGACATAGCCATTACACTAAGTGCTGGTTCCTTATTTGTCTTTTTAAAACATTAAAAAAACAAAAATGTAACAGGATGAAGGCGGCAATATTGCAGAGCTGGGAAGAGAGGCATGCTTCAGCAGGCAGATTTTACTTAATATTAAATGTCATCTAAAGAAAATATTAAACTAAAAACCTCTATCCTTTGAAAAACATTGTTTAAAAATAAATGAAAAGGTAGGTCACAGACTGGGAGAAAATATGTTCAATGTATATATCTAAGGACTTTTATCCAGAACATATAATAAACTCTTACAACTGAATATTAAAACAGACTACGGGTGAAAACATGGCCATAGATTTGAACACACAGTTCTTCAAAGAAGATAGGTAGATGGTCAAGAAACACATGAGCAGATGCACAATATCATTAGTCATCAGGGAAATTTAAATTAAGATCATGATGAGATACAACTATGCAGCCAATACTTCCCCCCCACCCACACATACACAAAAGGAATGAGTAAAAATGAATGCTTTTATACACAATAACATGGATGAGAAGCAGTATGCCAACTGGCAGAAGCCGTGTGCTGAAGTCTGTATGAATCCATACATGTGAAGTTCCAGAACAGGTGAATCTAGTAAGTCAGTGGTTTCCTGGTGCTGGGGTAAAAGGCTTACAGAGAAGGTTGGGGGAAACTTGTTGGTGGCATCATAGGTCTACATTGTCCATAACTCAAGGAAAAATGTACTCAACGTGTATATTTTATTATCAGTACAAATTATCCCTCAATAAAATCTGATTTAAAGCAAAAATAGCGTCTCCGAATAATCCTTTCTAGGCACAAAAACCATCCTTCAGAACATTAAAATACATTTACGAGGCAACATAAGGCTTTTCTTGAGAGAGAGATTTTTGTTCTACAGCATGTACACTAATCAGAGAGACAGACAGTGAGAATTCACCCCCCCACCCCTGGGGGGATAGCCACACCTTAATCCCTTCTCTAGTCACCTCTCAGGACTTTGGGCAGGCATGCTCACATGCCCAGCATGAGTTTCAAGCCACTAGGTCTGGGACTCAAACTGTAGTTGACTATGTGGGAGTCCAGTGATGTAACCATCATGCATAGGCTTTTTTTTGTTTTTATAATGATTTAATTTTATTTGTTCATTCATTTATTTTAATTTGACCAGAGAGAGAGACACATCCAGAGAGAGAAAGTAAGTTGCCAGATCTGAGGCTTGAATTGTGGTTAGCCATGTGGGAGTGTCCAGCACTTTAAACACAACGCCACCTGCTGGCCCACGCATAAGGCTTTTTAAATATGACTGTAGTCTTTAAATAGGACATAGATGTTAAACATATACAACTCATTGGGTGACCCACCCAACTTACCCTAAATCCAGCCACTGAAGAAAAGAAAATGCAAGTAAACAGAAGCCAATGGACTCTTCACGAAGTAGGACCACCTCAGAATATTCACCATTGCTTCAAGAGTAGCACATAGCTAAGGAAGGTGAGGCAAGAATCCTTCACATACCCTAAGATTAGGTAAAATAGGATGTCTGCTCTCACTACTTCTGTTGAACATCGATGTGCAGGTTCTAGCCAGAGAAAGTAGGCAGGAAAATAATGTAAAAGGCATCTAGATTGGAAAGAAAGAAGTACAACTATCTCTACCTGCAGAAGGCATGATCTTGTATATAGAAAATTTTAAGAAACTCCAAAATTATTGAAACTAATATGTTCATCATGGGTTTGGGGTATAAATTCAATATATAAAATTCAAAAGGAATGAATTGCCTGGGTACAGATTTAATAAAAAGAAGTACAAGAATTGTAAAAAGGGTCTTTCAAACATTCATGGAAAATGTGTATTATGAAAAAACTATAAATGGATTAAAAATGTTTGTACCAAAATAAACTTGTACTTTTAATTATATTTTTACATGAACTTTTTGAGGGTCCCCCTTGCACACTGAAAACTACAAAATCTCACTGAAAAAATTAAAAGAGTTAAATATATAGAAAGATATTTTAAGTATAAGAAGATAATATTGTTGAGATAGCAGTACTCCCCAAGTTTTCCTCATCAAAATCCTAGGTGCCGGGGACCAGCAGTTGGTGTAATGGCTATGTCGCTGGACTCCCATGTAGTCGACCACGGTTTGAGTCCCAGACCCAGTGGCTTAAACTCATGCCGGGCACGTGTGTGTGTGTGTGTGCCCAAGATCCCGAGAGGAGAATGGAGGAGAAGGGATTGTGGCATGGCCATCCCCCAAAGGGGGTTATTTTTTGCTGTCTTTCTGGTGAGTACACGTGCCCTATAGCAAAACAAACAAACAAACAAACAAAAAAGCTCTAAAAAAAAGAAAGAGAAAAAAAAAATCCTAGGTGCTTTCACTGCTAAAATTGACACACCTAAAATTTACATAAAAAGTCAAGGGATACAATAACCAAAGCATCTTGAAAAAACAAAGTTGAAAGACCTAACTTCTTAATTTCAAAACACTACAAAGCTATAGTAATCAAAACAGTATGATACTGGCATACAGATAGACATAGATAATGGAATAGAATTGACAGTCTAGAAATCTGTGAATCTATGGTCAGTTG